TCTACTTTTATCAAGTTAGAAGTGTACTTTTTTAAGGTGCAAATTTTATTGCAACTTTTTAGGGCTAAACTGTGGAATTGCACAGTGTTACACTGTAAAATAATGGTTGCAAATTATTATTCCATTCATTGCTGATCTCTGCTCGTTATATAGATAATAGATTTTTTGGTGTAAGAAACATACAGCGCTTTCTTCTTCTAGTTAAACCTTAGTATTTTTTCACTGATTTTGATAGATTTCCTAAGCAGTACAGCGTAGTGCAGTACATCTCCCTTTCTTTCTTCACCCTGCGAGGTATAGAATGGCTGCTGTATGCTCCCGTGCTAGTGCTGCATTCGGTGAGAAATTCTGCTTCTGTACTCCAGCAGTTCAGATGTGAATGGAGAGAAGTACGTCATCTCATGACAGCTTGTGTTTTCATTGTGTGGTTCCGAAATGAGCCTTAGAAGCAGGACATCTCCAAAACACATACCTGATCCCACTTGTACAATATTTTTTTATTCATTATAAATTTCTAGCAAGCACCATGGCAGTATTTCAGAAGAGGAACTCCTTCGAAAATCCCATTAAGCCATTACCGTTATCTTTCAAACTCACTTCTGTGATGGTGCCCATAGAAATATCAGTAGTAATTGGGCAGCTGATGCAACTGCTCTCAAAATCTCAGTGTTACCTTGCTCTACCCATGTCTTTCTCTATCCACCCTTTCTTCATCTTGTACTGAGTTTTCAAGCTGTTGTGAGAGTGGCCGACTCTTTGTTAAATATTCGTAGAGCTGTGATACCAAGGTGTTGCTTTTAGCAGTATTGCTCATAAGCCCACAGAAGTTTTACTGTTCATTGTCACAGCAGAGAAGTGTGATGCCCCTGGCTGGTAAGAATCTTTAAGGTGGGTTTTGTAACCAGTACTTTGGCTGGAACATTTTTTTTTGCAATAGTAGAGTAGTTTATAGTTTTGAATGAGATGGCTGATGTTTGTAATTCTGAAATAATACGGGATATAATTAGCAAATGTTGCATTTACTTTCTCCTGTATCCTTTGGTGTAAGAGGTTATGATATCTATGGTTATGATAGATGTTATGAAGTTATGGTAAAGGCCACAGTATAGCCCTTCTGTTGCCATAGAACTTGAAGAGTTAGTGAATAGTTCTGCCTACCAGACAAATACCTTGTCTTTGCCCTGTAAAATTCTATTTAGGTCTCATTCTATTTGACAGTTGAGATATTTGACAAAGATATTTTGAGATATATTAAGATATTGACAAAGATATTGGACAATTGTCATTTTCATGTTGTCATTTTTGTTTTACTGTCATGTTTTTGTAATATGGCAACTGAAAATAGAGCCTACGGATTTTAAGTGCTGGATTTATAAAAACAACAAAGCAAGAGCAGTGACATGGACACCCCACACGACCCACGTGAGCCCAGGAGCTGCTGAAGCTGCTTCAGCAACTTCTGCCCGCAGCCCGCAGGGGCTCTGCAGGTCCCTGAGCCTGGGCCTTGGCTGGACCACCCGGGCCCCTTCCTGGCCGCATGTTCCCCCTCCTTTGGAAGGAAATACGGGTATTACATGCCTTTCACCCTCAGAAACATGAAATGAGAGGCTGAAGGAGCAAACCACGTTTCCTTTCTCTGAAGCACCGCCTGGTTCCAGCACTGGCCTTGCTGGCTTGCTGTGCTATAAGAACACGGAACGATTTGGAAGCTCTTGATGGAAAAAACAACCCGGAAGGAAGGCAGACTGGGCCCTTTTTCGGCTGTTTTCAGATCTGGGGGTTTGTTGTATCAGCTCGTATTTTGTCCTTTTTCTCCTTCAGTTGAAGTAGACGCTTCTTTGATGGTGGATGTAGTTGATCTGTTAGCTTAGGAAATGAACAGAAGGCTGCAAATGGCCAGATCTTGACTATTTTACATCAGGGCTTTCATGAGCCACAGCAGCTTGAGAGAGGCAGCAGCTGTCACATCTTGGGTTCTTCTGAGCTTCCAGACACGCTGGGAGCCAAATGTTACAGCCAGGGTACAGAGACAACTTCTTCCTTGTCTTCCTGCTGGCATGTTTAATGGCTAATTCAGAGAAGAAGAATACAGCGTGGACTGCCAGATTTTCAAAGCATAAAAGGCTAATGGCTGTCATCGTATTAAAGATGAGAGACCTTGTGGGTGAAAGGCATTAGCACAGGTTATTATATCATGTATTTTAAGTAGGGAATTGTTTTCTCCTTTAGTTTTGAACCTGTCACTTCTGTCCTTGCTCTCTTGCAGAGGTTAGTTTCCTACTATCACATCAAATATAAGCTGTTTGCCTTCACCTGAAGGGCTTTCATGGGCTATCCTCATTCTATCATCTTTCATTTGATTTTGATAATGTGATGATTTTAGTTACGTTAGCCATTTGCTGATCTTCCACACCTCTGTGCTGATTCTTGGTTTTGCGGAAGTTTCACTTGTGTCTGTTCAAAGCCACATCACTGCTCTGTTTCGTAATCCTTCAAACTCTCCTTTGACTGAGAATCGTTTCATTTGGAGAGTGGTCCTGTTACGCAGACAAGTATTTAATTCTCTTAATGTTGTTCGCCTTTCTATATCGTGTGTATCATGTAAAACCCTTTATTGTGCCCACAGGCTGTAAGCTTTTTGCGGAGGAGCAGGTGCCACTGTTTTGCTCGGTGACCTACGCAGTACATGCTACATATCCCCCAAATTCCCTGTTGTGATAATGTACACAGTAATTCAAGCAACATACCTACATCTTTTATGCTATCAGTTGTTGAAGACTGTGCTACTGTCTCATGTATCTGTGTTTCACCAAAACCAGTTTGTTTGGTGTGAAGGGAGTTAATGAAAGGTACCAGTTTGGCCTCTTCTGCACTGCAGTAGCTTGAGGTTGCTTAGTTGTGTAGAGCCACTCAACACAGGCCCACAGCTCTGCTGTACATTTCCAGACCACCACCTAAATCCACTGAGGTCTTCTCTTCAGCATCTCAGCAGCACCACCCTGCCCCAGCCCCGGGCTGCCCGAGGGCACCATCTCATCTCCTTACACTCCACGCCCTCTCTCATCCCTGCCCAGGCTTGTTTAATGGTCCAGTTCCGGGTGAGAGGCAGCATGTTCTGCAGCTGGCATGAGCTCTCTGCATGCTAATTTCCAGAAATAAGCACGTGGCAATTGGTGCTGTTACCTTCTAATTTCAGATAATGGAAGAAGACTGTTTCGTTTTCTTCCCCTAATGGGCACTAGTGCGATTATTATCGATTTTCATGAAGATTTTAGGAATGTGGTATCTTTCAGGAACTTGTCTGATTTATTTCATAGTCTCAAGACCTATTGGTGATGAATAGGGATTGACAGATAATCTGATACCATGAACTAATCTCATTAGCAAACTTTAATGAAAATCATTCTTTCAAGTTACTTTTGAGATCCTAGCCATTGAAGGTAATATGAAATGCTGATTGACTGAAAAGAAAGTAGAGTTTTTTCTTGAGTTTGTACAGTTTTTCTTTAATGCGTGAAACTATCCAACATTTAGAGTAATGGAGCTGCTTCCGAATCTGAAAACACGTTGATCTACAGCACTGAGAGCTGTGACATGGTAATGTGAACATGGAGAGGCAGTCTTGAAGAATATAAATATTACACCTTCAGAGAAGCTGCATGTTTGTATTTTAAAACATAGAGATGACAAAAAGGTATAGAATGCCACAGAATCCTTAGTGGGCTTTCCCCTTGGTGTCCCCAGATAAATTGCATCCACATCGTCATTCCCTTCGTTTTTTTGCACCTCTAGACCCCTTGAATTCATCTATTTCTTCTGTCTGTAAGGCTGTCTGGGCACCAGTAACTGTGCTGAGAAGCCAGTTTAGAAATGGAAGTTTTGGGATAGTCCCAACAAGTGGAATATAAAGCACTGGGCATGAAACAGCTCCTGCCCTGCCTGATTATATGTGCCCAACATAATAAATCTTGATTTTCTAACCTACTGTGCCTGGCATATTTGGTTCCCAGTGCGTGCTTTGTGGCGTGACAGGTCTGGCGTGGAGCAGTCTGGATGGGATGACTCACGCACGGGAGCCCTGCCGGAAGGTTCACTGTGCTACCAGCTGCAGCCTGCTGCTGTGTCCCCTCTCTGCCCCTGGGACATAAGCTCACGTGTGCTCTTGCTGACTGCACGACCTGACGAGCTTCTCTGGCCCCGTCTCATGAGCGGAGATGCTCTGTCTGCCCTGTCCTTGTGCAACTCGGGCTGCTGGTCCGCTCCGTCGGGTAGAGGTGAGAGGCTGGGGAGCGTGAGCAGCTGGGGAGCACTTTGAAGTACTTGTACAGGGCAGTCAGTTTGGGCCAGAATAATGCCTGGTGTTGTATGGACCCGTTCGTTCACTGTTGATGTCTAAGTGTCGTTTTTAAAAATGGGATTAGGTGTTTGAAAGAGCTTAACAGTGGCTGTGTTGATTCCTGTCTTCATGTGCATTCGTCTTGCTGGCAGAGAAGAGCGCTCTTTATGCCCACCTACACACGCACGGGTGCTTCAAGGGCATTTTTACACAATCTCCTTTAGGTAAAAGTTAAACTCCTGTCTGCTTTCTTGCATGCTTTTGAAGAATTTCACCTCCTAGTTGAAGAAGTTTGCTTTGATTCTACTTTGGTTTGAAATAATTTCTGATTTCTAATTTACTTTTCATTCATGGACTTTTCACTGTTCATCTTCTAACACAGGTGGATATTGGCCATTTTTTTTCTTCATGTTCAAAGAGTATAGGTAGTGAAGATACTTGGCACAATTTATCAGGGAATTTGTGTGTATTTAGCTGGCAGGACTAAAGCAATTCGTGAATAGAGTTTACAGGCCCTGTAGACCTCCTCACGTTCCTGGTTATGGTGCTGTAGCTCTGTGGGAGTTCACCTAGGAAAGGATGTCTTTCAGAAAAACTGAAACATCGTTTGTCTTTCTAGGCTGTGAAGCATGTTACAGAACTGCTCCACAAGTGGATGAAGGGGAAGGGAAGAAGCGCCACTGACAGCTAGGATAGCAACATGGGAAATACAACCACCAAGTTCCGCAAAGCTCTCATAAACGGAGATGAAAACTTGGCCTGCCAAATCTATGAGAGCAACCCACAACTGAAAGAGACTCTTGACCCCAACACTTCTTACGGAGAAACGTACCAGCACAACACTCCGCTGCATTACGCTGCTCGGCATGGGATGAACCGCATTCTGGGGTGAGTACGACTGGAAGTTTTGCTTGGGCATGCGTACCCGACCTACCCTCCCACCATAAATTTTTCCTCAGTGTTTTAGATTCACCTAACAGGGTTTTTTATACTTTATAACTTCTCATTTATCTTGATTTTTTACTAAATAGTTTTCTTCCCCATGTATTCTATATTTCTAATTAATGTTCACCTTTAATCACTGAATCCGTTTGTTTGCTTCTTAGCATCCCCAGCTTGCCCCCTTTCCTGATTCTTGAATTATTAGGAAAAAAAAAAAATCTTAATTTAAAATAACATCCAGGGTTTGGGTTTTTTTATGTTTTCTGTGTGATTTTTTCTTTCTCTGAGTTTTTCAGGTTATTTCTCTCAAGAAAGTATCTCTTAATAAAGTATAGCCTCATTGAAACAACGAGGACACATTAAATTGTTTGAACATAGGGAGAGAAATGGAGTCATAATTGCTGACTTCTGAGCAGTCCATTAGTTAATTCATATTGCGCTAATATGAGATTTTGAATAATTGCTTTGTTTAAAAGAAAAAAAAAAGAAAAGGTAATTTAGCAATGACATTTTACTGCTAGCTGCATGGGACCTTTAGCATCTAAGTCTCACAGAACAACTCAGTTTTATATTGCACACATTTTAAAAAATTATTGGAATATCATTCTTTATTTCTAGTTTGAGTCCCAGGTTTGCAACACATTTTTTACCAGTAAGCACAATGAAGGTGCTGTTATTTGCTGGAGGCTGCTTCTGGAAACCTGGACTGTTAGAATTGTCTGTTGCCAGGAGTGATTTACTGAGGCTTCTTTACTATTTACTTTTCTGGTGTCTTTCTAAGGGCTTTGTTCAGAACTGCTCTGTAAGACATGCTAACAAAAATGTAGCCTTTTTGTCTAAACAAAGCAGTAAGAGTGAATAAATACCAGACTTACTGTGTGCCTGTTTGCAAAGCTGATGGTATAAAGGGCACTAGTGATTTCCAGTTAAGCCTCTTCCTTTTTTTACAGAAAGTCCTGGATATCAGCAGAGATTAAATAGATTGAATGTTAAAATGAATGCTACGAGTTACTAATGAAGTACAATAGCTAAAAATAACTTAATTTTAATCTGTTTGTGTTTAGAGAGAAATTTACAGTTCTGAGATGCCCATGATATTATAATATTTTCTCTTTATCTCTTCATTAAACATTTTAAATATTAGGGAATCTGTAGCTACAGTAACTAGTAGTTCAAACTCCTAAATGTTACTTAGACGTATATCATTCAATTCAGTTATTCTGTATAAGCTGATGTTTGTATTATCGTCAGTAGATATGAACTGACATGTGTTACAATTCACTGTGGGAAATTTTCTCAAAATTTTTAAGAGTCCTGAGACGCAGTCGTGGGTGCACCTTTTGCATAACAATACTTTCAGAGAGATCTTCTGTGATGTTTAGAAATCGCCTGTCCGGCGGTGCCGTTACCAAATATGGAGGCTGAGGGAGAAAGTCCCTTCCCAGATGTCTGGATGGTGGGCGCTGCCTGAGACGCAGCGAAAGCGCAGATGTCGCCGAGTTTGCAGTGGAAGGGAGTTGCAGGTATTCTGGCTACTGATCTCGGAGGTGCCAAAACAAGAAACGTGAAAAGGAGGTGAAAAGGTCATCGGGCAAAACTCCTGACACCTGGGCAAACCGTGTGTAATCCAGCATGAAGTCTACTGACAGAAACTTAAGGCAACAAAACTTTCTCGGCTATTTTGAACTGCAGAGTTGTTTTAGAGCAAGTGTCTGAATCATCTGGCTGCTGTGCCTTTCATCCAGCATTTACAGCCCAGAAACTGGATTCAGTGTATAATCGAGCTGTAAAAATGTGAAATTTTCCTGTTAATTTCTCTTCTCCTCACAGAATTCAACAAGAACGTGTTAAATACTAGGATTGTTTCTATGAGAATTATCCATGAGTATCATAGAAATCTTTGGTGTATTAGAAATGTGGGAACAAGACATGGCAAATAGTTAGAAATGCCATTAATAGATAACTTTTGTTTGGTCTGCACCCTAAATAATGTTTACCTGGCAGATCAGTTTGTTTTAACAGAGCATTTAATGTTTAAAAACCAAAAGTTGCTGGTCGCAGCTCATTAGCACAAACAAAAATTTTCGAGGTGGCGCTCAAAGTTGCCAGAAGTTATTACAGAGAGTTCGGCAGTTCCCCGCAGCAGAGAGCTGTCTCGTTTTCTCTGTCGGGTCAGTAGGGCTACGTTGTTGGGGTTCGGTTGTGTGATGGAGGGCTCATCCCCAGGAGCGCAGGGCAGCCCAGAGGCAGAGCAGCTGGGGAGCCCAGTAGGCTCATCCAAGGGAGGAGCCCCCCAGGTCCAGAGCTGTCGCAGAAGAGCCGTCCACTCATGTCCTGGCTCTGACACCCACTGGGGCAGCCTACAGAAGGGGATCGTGCAGGGTTCGCGTGGGGGCTGCAAGGCTGGCTTCTGTGAGGAGAGGTCGGGAGCCGTCCCTTGCGGGCTCCAAAACAGCCTGGGCACTGGCCAGAGCTGAGCCTGTCAGTGGTGCTGGTGGCACCTCCGGGGTAACATAGTTAAGAAAGGGTGTAAAACGCTGAACAGGAGCTGAGAGAGAGGAGTGAAAAAACCGGGAGACAGAGAGCCCTGCAGACACCAAGGCCAGAGGCGAAGGAGGGAGAGGAGGGGTTCCAGGCGCCACAGCAGATTTTCCTGCGGTCCATGGTGATGAAGAGGAAGAGGCAGGCTGTTCTGCAGCCCATGGAAGTCCACCGGGGAGCAGCTGTCCACAGCAGAGCAGGTACCACGCTGCAGCCCCTGGGGGACCCCACACCAGAGCTAACGGCTGTGCCCCACAGCGAGAGCGCACGCCGGAGCAGGCCCCTGGCAGGAGCTGTGCTCTGTGGAGAGGAGCCCGCGCGGGAGCAGGGTTCCTGGCGGGACCTGCGGCCATGTCGGCGACCCACGCTGAAGCAGTCTGTGCCTGAAGGACTGTACCCTGGGGAAGGGACCCATGCTGGAGCAGTTATTGAAGAACTGCAGCCTGTGGGAAAAACCCACATTGGAGCGGGTCTGGAAAGACTGTATCCCCTGGATGTGACCCCAAGCCAGAACAGGGGACGGCGGCAGGAGGAGCAGAGATGAAGGCTTATGAACAGATCACAGCCCCCATTCCTCATCCAGCACTGCTTGGTGGGAAAGGAGGTAGAAGAGTCAGGAGTCCATTTGAGGCTGGACAGAAGGGGGAATAGGGGAAAAGTTTTTTCAGTTTTATTTCTATTTCACTACCCTACTCTGTTATTAGTTGGCAATAAATTAAGTTCCACAAGTTGAGTCTTTTTTGCCTGTGGTAGTAATTGGTGAGCCTTGTCCTTATCTCAAACCATGAGGTTTTTTGTCATTTGAGGAGGGGAGTGAGTGGCCAGGTGCGCACCTGGAAGCCAGCAAAGGTCAGCCCACCAAAGGGATCACGGTGGTTTAGGGAGGAGCACATCTGGGACAACAGAGCAGGGGCTGAAGGGGGCTGGTGACATGGAAGTGGGTGGCTCATCAGACCATTAAGTTTGTCTGACCATACCTGATCACCACAGTCTGTCCTATAATCTCATTAATCTCTATTTCTGATTATTTTCCCAGGTGACAGCTCTCTGCCATGTGCATGTTTGTGTATAGAGGTCTAAGTACAGGCAACTCAAGTAGGGTCCTTGTGACAGGGATCCCTGAGTTTGGGGTGCAAGCAGCTGGAGAGACCAGAGGGCATGCTTATGTCAGTGCGGGTATCAGTGTGCTATGGCTACTGGATATCAAGCTGGACTAGCCAGCGGGTAGTGTAAGTGGCCTGGGAGCCATGTTTCAAGCTGTCCTGAAGTCCACAGGTCAGCTGGGAGCCTACTGGAGCCACCTGGAGATGAGAGGATCCAGGGGCCAGGTAGTGGTGGTGTTGAAGGCCAGTTACTGGGGATTTGCAGTACCTGTGTGTGTGAGGTAACTGGAAGGTCCGGGCCATCCAGCACCAGTTATGATGGGACACAATGTCTTCCAGGTTAGGAATTGTTGCACTGTCATGAAGTTTGTTGAGTTGGAGGGACAATATCCACCAACCAAAACAGAGTGGGAGGGACCTTAGTGTGGTAAAGAGCATCTAAGGCCAGTTGCTGAAAGGATCAACATTGCTTATGAATCTGTTTTTCCCACTGGCAGCCTTTCACCTGCTTGCTTCTAGAGGGGAAAGGGATGGGGCCACCCGTGTTGTTTGTGGTCGTGTGCATGTTGAGTGTTTCCATGCACATGCATCTGTGTGGGCCACCATGTCTGTACGTGCTGCGCAGGTAAGTCTGCTGGAACGCAGCCCCGTCGTGCCCCTCGCTGGACCTGGGCACGTGGAGCCGCTGCAGCCTTGCTTCCCATGGGCTGCCACCTCTGCCAGCCCCTCACAGTCTAAGGCCATTTACTAAAAATAGAAGGGTACAAAAGAGAAAATACACCCCTTGAAATCACTCCAGAAAACATGAGAAGGTTAATTTCCATTTTGGAAGCAAAGAACTAAACCTTTGAAGTTTTCTTTATTGGACTATATTGTAAATACTGCAGGAACAATTTGAGTGAGATTTACTCAGTGATTTTCTTCTACAGTCTCTCAACTGCTGTTGGTGCTTAGATTCAAAGGAGTTTGCCTTGGTTGTTAACAGCTCTAGTTTGGAAATGTCATCCCTGTGTTGCAGAACTGTACTGATGTCGCTATTCAGACTGTGTTCACCACAAGCTAGTAATAGGTAGTCTATAGTGGATGATAGGCAGGGCTTCAGGAAGTAAGAGGAAAAAGTTACGTAGCACTCAGAAACAAAAAATTAATAAAAGATACATAGCACTCACAGATGAATTTTGAGAGATTTGTACAGGGTACATATTGGTCTTACTCCACCGTAAACATTTGTTCCCGAGAATGAAGGTCTTGGCAGAAGATTCATGTTCAGGAAGGTAGTTTAAATTTTTGTTCCCTAAATGA